ATTATGCAGTGCTCAAACCAACTGAGCCACAAAGGCATTATTATATGGTAAAGTAAAGGTATGTATATACCGGCTTTTGTCACGTGGTCTCTCAAACGTGACACGACGCGTTGCCAATGCCACGTCGTTTCTTCCTTCCACCATCACCATCACCATCCACCCCACCGTCTCAAGCCACGACCGCCCACGACATCGACGACGACGACGACCACGCTGACGACGACGACCACGCTGACAATGCACGACAACACGCAACGTCGTCAACAACGACCCCGCCATTACAAGAGCCACACCACGTGGCAACGCCATGTCACACGGATGGGAGGCGACGACGACAACGCGGAATGTCAATGGATGTTCCGCCTCGACTGCAGCCCAGGTAAGTGGACTGGGTAACCCCTCCCAGTCCACCTTTTGACAAGAACAAACCAGGTGCGACGTCGCGGTCAGCGACGTGGCAACCAAACGACCAACGGACACGACAACCGACGAGCCCGCCCACCCACAAACGACGCACACCGCCCCACATGACCCCCACTGCCCACGAGCGCCCAAAAAAAGAAACGAGCGCCCAGACACGACACCGAATGCCCACGACATGACAACCAACAAGCCCGCCCACCCATGAACGCCCACGAGACAACCGCACGCGAACGAAAACAAATGCCCAGCAGACGAAGACGACGACACGACCCCACCACACACGAACGCCCGCCCACGACAACGACTGCCCATGAGCACCCACGACATGACAACGAACGCCCATGCATGACAACAAAGACCCACGAGCGCAACGCAAACGCCAACGCAAAGACGAACGAAACGGCAACCCACCCCCACGGACGCCAATACAGCCCACCACCCACGACCGACGACGACGCGCGCCCATGCACGGAGGATTCCGCTCGCGTCAACGGAAATGGGCAACAACGAGCCCAGGTGAGCTCCCCCCCCCTCCATCATTCCTCACCACCACCCTTCCATCATCCCCCCTCCCTCCCTTGTTGCTCCCCCTCCCATTTCTCCCCCTCCCTCCATTGCTCCCCCTCCCATTGCTCCCCCCTCCATCCATCCCCACCTCACCCTTCACCACTCCCTCCCTTCACCACTCCCTCCCTTCACCACTCCCTCCCTTCACCACTCCCTCCCTTCACCACTCCCTCTCTCCTCCATCACTCCTTCCCCCTCCCTCCCCCCTCACTCTCTACTACATCCTCCCCCCTCCATCACTTCCCCCTGTCTTCCCCCCTCCCTTAAATTTTGAGAATAGTAAAAATAAATTGTGTAGTCTATTTATTTAATACATTTCAATTTTTCCTGCTCAACTTAGAATTATTTCATAAAGTCATTCCATGTGGATTCCATGTGGAATCCATATGGATTCCACCCTTAAAATGGTACAGAACATATAGAATAGAGTATGGATTCCATCTGAAAAAAGTATGGAATCCATGTGGAAAAGTATGGAATCCATGTGGGGGAAGTATGGAATCCATCAGCCATTCCATGGAATCCATCCCCCAAAGTCATGGAATCCATCCCCCATTCCATGGAATCCATCCCCCAAAGTCATGGAATCCATCCCCCACTCCATGGAATCCATCTGGAATTTGTGCAGTCCACCCCCCATTCCATCCATTCCATATGGAATAACCCGGGGAGGGTAAAGTACTGACACAATGACATGTCAACGACACACCAGGATGACGACATGACACACCAGCATGACAACACGACATGCCAGGACAACGACATGCCAGGATGATGACACGACATGATGACACATCCACATGAACCCACCCCCACCACACGTGAAAAATAGTGAGCGTGGATGAAGCCAATGAAGGCCCTGGGTGTGGCATTGACCCTGTGCTTGAAACCCTGGCAGAATGCGATGAGGATTAGTGTTTTTTTGGTCCCTATTGAATATATCTTATTATTTACAGTTGTTTATTTCTAAACTATGACATCCAAGGTCTGGTCCTCCAATCCATCAATTTCTCCCCCCCGATGGAGGCAGAAAGTGTTCAAGAACAAGCATTAATATGTCAACATATATCTGATATATTTTATTTAACTTTTATAGTGAAGGAACAAGTGGGAGATTTGAAAAACCATCAGAGCTCCAAAATGGGTGATTGTGTGATATTGTTTGCTTCTAAGGCCATGACATACAAGATGAATCCATCAATTTCCCCCACTCCATGGAATCCATCTGGAATTTGTGCAGTCCACCCCCCATTCCATCCATTCCATATGGAATAACCCAGGGAGGGTAAAGTACTGCTAATTTCAACTAAATACAGTAAAATGAGAAACCAGAATGACTTGCATAGACCCACCTGGGTGCAGGCACTCCCTGAGTAATAGGGAAAACTGCATTATCCCAAGGAATAAGGCATAGGGCTACAGCCAAGGGTGACCCTTTCAACAGATGCTTGGGGCACCAGCTCCAACCATGGTGGTGAAGCAGGATGAGGAACCATTGAGTTATCTGAAGATTGCAACTGGCCTCTGAAGTATTGAGCTAGATCCCTTAAGAGACCAGTGTTATGCCACATGCCCTTTCAGAATAGGTGAAATGGGGTTTGGAGGGGTAGGGGTTGGGTGGAGGGATACCCAACAGACTCCAGATTGTCATGGGGGTGAAGTTATTCATGTCATAGATGAGAAGGTGGGGGAAGATGGGTCCTTGAAATGTGAGGGGGTTGTTAAAGGGGAAAACATGGATATTTTAAAGTTAAATTACAACCCTCAATGCAACCCTACATCAGAGCATAAATGATGGCAGCACAAACCTCAAGGCTGCTGTTTAGCCAAAAAGAGTTGAAAGAGTCATAAACATAAGCCTGGCCAGGAATGGGTGAATTCTTGATTTCCATCCTGGTCTCATGTCCAGGCCCAGCTTGGACTGTAGTTTCAATGCCAAACCAGTGCTGAGTGTATGGGGCTGGGTTCAAATCAAAAGTTACTGACCAACTTTTTTTTTTCTATGGGCTCATCAGCAGGCACCATCAACTATGGTCTGTTTGTATGAATGGGGGGCTCAGTGTTAGTGGGGTAAGTAACTAATACTTGCACTCCCTCCCCCTCCCTCCCCCACTCCCCTATATCACTGCACTGTACTCCCTCTGCTCCCTCTGCCTCCATCACCCCCACCACTTCCTCTATCACTCCCACCCCTCCACAAATACTCATAGAGTACACTATGGATTAAGGCTACTCCACATGGTCAATTGTCCTATGTACCATAGAGCTACCCCAATGGGGCCAATGATATGTATACATTATTGGGCCCAATGGATTTGTTGATGCTAAGATGGCATGATGTGGCCCAGCAGTAAGTATTTTAATGGCACAGATTGGGTCAAATTCAATATATGGGTTTGTTCAGCTGAGAGCCATTAAAGACTTGGCAGCTGTTACTGCAGAAATATCTCTGTGAATATTTCTTTTCCTCTCATAGCATATGTGCATTCAATGCATGTCAAAATGAGGGATTTCAGCATGTGTTGGTGCCAAAATATCTCCAGGAATATTGTGTTGGCTCCCAGGAACCATGGGAACTGCATATATAATAAAGTCAAGAACTTTGGCAGCTGTTAGTGCCAAAATACCTTTGTGAATATTGTTTTTGCCTCTCAGCAAATATGTGCACTCAATGCATGTCAAAATCAAAGGCAAAGATTTCAACTTCTGTTAGTGCCCAAATTTGTTTTTGACCTCCTGGGAACATTGTTTGACTTTCCTGTAACATTTTCTGACCATACAGAACTATTGTTTTACCATCTGGACATATTGTTTTATCTCCTGGTACCCACTATTATCACTGTTTGATGTCCTTGTTCACAATCTAGTATAAAACAAAGTGTTGAACATAGAATACTGGTGTACTTTACCCTCCCCCACAGATTCCATCTGAACTCCACATGGACTCTATCTGAAAAAGAAGTTATGCCACAATTTCTTTTAAAATCCATCTGGAGTCCACATAAACTCCACCTGGAATCCAAGTGGCCTCCAGATGGATTTCACCCCTCAGGACTGGGACAGAGTTAAGCAGAAATTTTGCTGAATTATATATCATGTCTTAGCAGAGGCCATGAGGGGGGAGACAGAGTTGGGGACTCACATTGGTTTGGGCCCATCTTGTCTTTTTGTTCATGGGAGGTCATCTTCATATGTGGGTGCCTGTTTTCCTCTGTAGGCAGTGGTCATGGTATGTGGTCAAGAATGTGTCTGTGTAAACAGGGACACTTGGACATGGACAAAATTCAGGTTGAATCAGTACTTTCATTATACAAAGTCTGGGTTGAATCAGCACTTGAATGCATCAAAATCTGGGTGGAATGAGCATTTTTATTACCCAAAGTCTGGGTTGAATCAGCACTCCCATTATATAAAGTCTAGGTTAGCTCAAAGCTCTCAATGTCATAAAAGTAAAAGCTAAAGGTTGAAACAGGCTTTTGAAATGGCTGTCCACAAAAATTTAACAAAAGTTGCTTGCAACTTGTAATATGGAGCTATTAATGCAAGATGCCAGTGTAAGTTCATGGAAGACACCCTGAGACAAACAGAAGGATTTGAGGGTGCCACCTGCAGCCATGATGGAATTTTATAAACTCAAAGAGGAAAATTTCCTTATAGGGTAAGCCATAGTAAGATTCTTTTCCTCCACCAGACCCATTCTACTATATAAGGAGATAAGCTGACAAATAATCTCCTTATATGGTTACCTCCTTGGCTCTGTCTCACTCTGCATCACCTTCAAATGTGAGAAACAGCTATTGAACTTTCTGCTAATAAAACTGACTCATTTGTGTTGCTGAGCAAGTCAATAAAAGGGTGGCATGGAAAATGTCACTGTTACTTGCTCCAACAAATCCCTGTTCCTGCTCTGCCTAATAGCACACCCTGCTGTACAAGGCAACAGTGTTACATTTATAGTTGATTGATGAAGCAGGAAAGGGTCAGGGTTAATCAATGGAATCCATGAAATTAATGTTTCTGGAACAAGTATGGAATCCATCAGCCAATCCATGGAATCCATCTGGAATTCCTGGAATCCACCCCCTTCCATGCATGCCATCTGGATTAAGCTGGGGAGGGTAAAGTACATGTTGGTCTTGTCATATGTTGTGATTGCATGATTTTCATGAGAATGACAGTTCCCTTTTGAATTCTTAGCCTGTGACATGACTGTATTTGGAATTTGACAGAGTCTTGTTGCCATCTCTAGCTGAAGTTTGTCAATGGTGGGCTTTGGAGGCAGATCCAACCCGAGCTGACTCTGTAATAAAAAGGTTGAGTCAAATTGGTGCAATGTTTGTCAGGTTTTTTTCCTTGCATATTTGCTGCTGTCAAGCTGACATTTGGTGCTAGCCCAAAATGAAGAAGCAAGAAGATCTTGTGATGGATCCAGGGGTTACCACCAGATGTCTCCTTTCTGCAGGAATTTATTTTCTAAATCTGAGGATGAACTCAAGGATGTTATGGTTTCATATAAGTTCATGGCAATGAGGTTTGGTGGCAGCATACAAAAGACCACTCTGGATATATCAAAGGCAAACTTCAACAAACATGGTTTTGAGGGCCTCATGTACTGCAATGGGGATGCTCACTCAATGGCATTTTTACCAGGATACAGAGAACCCCCAAGGCCTTGTGAACATATGTAGGAGAGTACAAAGCATCCAAATCTCAGTCACTATTGCAAGGGAAATGGAACAAACAAATGAACAGGGTTGGTAATGATATATTGATTCCATGATTGAGTGATGATATACTAGGGCCAAACACCTTATTTGTCAGATGTGCAAAATTAACATGCAGAATCACAATGCAGTTACAAATACTAGACTTGAAGTATCAACAAAGGTTACATAAAAGGATCATTATGATAAGCATAAACCAATCAGTATAGCATGCCAGAAAGCAGATTGGAAGGAGCACAAGTCCAGTGCTTGCATGAAAGCCCCCATTTTTCTAGAAGCTGGACAAAATGATGAAGATATACAGTACACTGAGAGGGTAAAGTAAGCACCTTTATACTGTCTTTCTGGTCTTCCAGCTCCCCTTTCAAAGCACAGTGGAACTTCACATCCTCATGAAATTTGGTCTTGATATCTGAAAAGTGGTTCCAATCACCCAATGGGCCAGCTTGCTGTGTTGTTCTATGGGAAGTTTTCACAAAAAGGAGGCACTTGTTCATCATTGATATCATTGCAGAATGATATTGGTCATTCAAGCATTCCTCAAGGAGTTTGCAACCAAACCAAATTATATAGCAATATGGCAAATTGTCCATCCTTTTCACTCCTTCAACAATAGTGCCTCAAACTTCCAATACCTTGAATCTGTATATGCCAAGTATGTCCTTGCCATTGCTCAAGAAGCAGAACTGTAGTGTCCACTCTTTTTTTTAACATTGAATCTACAAACCTGTGTCATACATTGAGCACATTAGCTAGAAGACAGAAAACCAATATAGAACTTACAGTATTTCATTGTGGCAAAGCCCCTTCATGTCAAGTCAATAAAGCTCGCATTGCTCCTTTGTGAAGGAATTTGAGCTGATATCGTAATGAACAAACAAATGAACAGGTTTGGTAACACTATATTATTAGCTACTTTGATTTCTAGGTCAAATCTACTTGGGCTCACATGATCTTCAAGAAGGCTGGGGGTCCAGTGTTCACTTATGTATTCTCACTCAAAAAAAGCATAACATTCACACTCCAACAGAAGAGCAGCTGGAGAAGGTCTGGGATTCAGGAGAGTACAAGGGGAAAGTGACTGCTGGTAATATACAGGCAGATTTGATTGTGGTGTAGAAGTGAGTTTTTATCTCATTTCTATTCTCCTGGTATTGATTCTTTATAGGTTCTTCACCTCTGGATGATGAAATGTGTTGGGTTTGACAAGTCCCTTCAACGCTGAATCAACAAAGAACTCAAAACCTGGGATTCCTCAGAGGCTGGTTGCAAAACCAACAAGAAAAAGGTAGTTCATGGAGTTAAAAAAAGAAAGCATGGTAAACATGAGAGTGATGAGGGGGAGGGTAGTAAAGGCAAGGATGAGGAGGAGGAAGCTGACTTGAAGTTGGAGGACAAAGATGGATGGGAAAATGACTAGAAGGGATTCACAGGTAACTGAATTGCAATACTGGAGCAGGGGAACACAATCTAGAAATGGCCATCTGTTGATCATATTTTATGGACTTAAGACAATAATTGTTAATGGGAGATGCTTTACCATGATTTATGTCAGTTTGGCACAATCTAGACTCCATTGTAACTCATCCGACTGGTTGACACATCAACATCACATATTCCTTTCACAGCAAGCTGGCCCATTGGGTGATTGGAACCACTTTTCAGATATCAAGACCAAATTTCATGAGGATGTGAAGTTCCACTGTGCTTTGAAAGGGGAGCTGGTGGGCGCTTCGTCAGTCTTGTGGGTGCTGGTGGTCATTTGGCAGTCATTATGACTGTTCTTGTGGTTGTTTTTGTTGCTGGGCAGTGGCACTCATCTGTTGGGAGGTTGTTTGTGGTGGTGGGGGTTACGCCACGACTTGTTGTTGTTGAGGGTTGACATGGGCATGTGCTTGTCAGGTTGTGAGGCGGTCGTATTTGTTTCTTGCATGGTTGTCATTGTTCTTGGGCCACCAGGATTGTTTGTGGTGGTGGTCATGTGATGTGGTGGCCCAAGGCCAGCACAGTGTAAAGGCCAGCACAGCAGAAAGGCTAGCACAGCATAACAGCCAGGGCAGCAGCAAAGCACCAGAGGCTAAGGGGAGGGGTCTGGGGTCTCCCCAGCCATTGCAGCCAGCACTGCATTGACAAACCATTTTATTTGATACTACAGACAGAGGCAGTGAAGTACATTGTAATAGGTACTTGACAGGAAACATAGTGGCATGGGAAGATTTCAAACTCTGACCTTAGGTGTACAGGTTCAATGTCTGCAAGTTGATAGAGTACTATGGAATCATTATCAGTGAGGAGGTCGGTCTCAGTCCAGAGCACCTCATCAACCAAGCCAGGAGATATACCAGCAACAGAGAGCTCAGCCTCTGATGCAACCTGCCTGTTATTGAAATCCAGTCTTCTGGAGTTGTACTGATACTTTGGAAATTGCTGTGATCATCATCTTACAGGTGTGCTGAATGCCAATGTCACACAAAGTGGTACTCAATTCCTGTAAAACCTGGTACATGATCAGGGTTGAAAAAAAGGCCACCAGCCTCTGGAATCTCTGGTGCCATTGAGTGAGCATCCATATTGCAGTACATGAAGTTGTCAAAACCATGTTTGTCAAAGTTCACCTTTGACATATTTGGAGTGGTCTCTTGTGTGCTGCCACCAAACCTCATCGCCATGAACTTACATGAAACCATGATGTCCTTGAGTTCATCCTCAAGCTTGAGATCTAAAAAATGAATTCCAGCAGCGAGGAGATGTCTTCTTCATCTCCTCAACTTCATATATAGAGTTTGCTTGGGTTGTGTCTGCCTCCAAGGCCCATTGTTGACAAACTTCAGCTGGAGATGGCAACAAGACACTGTCAAATTCCAAACACGGTCACATTGCAGGTCGAGGATTGAGTTGAGAAGGGAAATATCATCCCACAATTCTTCCTTGACAGCAACAGCAAAATGTGGTTCAAGATGTTGACCTTCAAAGGCATGGTCAATATCTTCCATGGGGCTGTCATCAGCACCACATGCAAGTGGCTCAACACAACCAATCTGAGAATAATTGTAACCATCTGTCAAAACTTGAAGATGAGTTGCTTACCAGGAAGTCGTTGACGTCGATATCTTCATCAGCCCCATATGGCTCTTTGACAGGACCTATCTGAACAGAGTTCTGATGGTCTAGACTCTATAATGTCAGAGCTTCAGGATAACTTACTGGGAAGTCGTTGATGTCGATATCATCATCAGCCTCATATGGGTCCTCAACAGAACCAATCTGAAAGAGTTGTTATTGTCTAGACATAACCTCAGAGCTAAATGATAACATACCAGGAAGTCATTGATGTCAATATCATTGTCATCGAGTGCAGGAGCTGACCCCCATGGACCTGATATCAAATTGGTTTCCTGCTTTTACCATGAATCAACTATGCATGTGGCAGTTCTATATGTACCACTGGTCCACCAGTGGACAAAGCTGACTTATCATCAGATTCACCCTACATCCAAGTTGGTTTGTCAACTTCTCTAACAATAAGATGCTGAGAGGGTAAGCAAGCACCTTGATAATGTATTTCTGGTCTTCTGGCTCCCCTTTTAAAGCACAGTGGGCCTTCACATCCTGATGGAATTTGGCCTTGACGGTATCTGAATGGTGGCCTTTCCGGTCCTCAAGTTCCTCCTTAGGCTGCAGTAGGTTATTCAAAAGCACAAAGCATAGAGCCATATCAACAATGAATTTTTTTGATATTGAAGGTTTTCTCGTCTTCACTTTTGACCTAGTAGTATTACAACTCTAAAATCTGGCATGCTTGGATTTCTCTGCCCTGCCCGTTGGAAAGGGCGGAAGGGCTTCCCCAGCGTGTAGCTGACTGGGTAAGTGGTGGTATTGCGGTCAGTAGCTACTACATGTGATGTGTGTATGTACGTGCACGTGACCGCGCTCTGGAGCAGGGAATCCCTATTCCATCTGCCCCCTTCCCATAAGGCGACATCCCCGTCGCCAGCTGCTAAAAAAGAAGAAAAAATCTAAGAGGACTAGAAAAATATAGAGTAGAAATCCAGAATCAAACAAAGCAATAAAAGAAAAAGATGTGATGGACACAGTAGGAACATAAACTTAAAGAAAGATCAGCAACGAACCCAACCAAGTGCCTTCAAAGCTTGACTCAAATCTAAGAGGCGTGGATCGGATTCCCAATTGAGGGCCATAGGAATCTTCAATGGGGTTGGTGACAATGGTGGTGTGGTGGGGTTTGAGACTGAAAAGAGGCGTTGATGAGGAGTAGTTTGTGAGACAGGGAAGAATGGTGGGGCTCGACGTGGCCAAAATGGTGGTTGGGACCGGAAAACCTCACATTTTTCCAAAGGCAATTGGGAACGGCGGTTCCGATGGGCTAACGAGCTGAAGGGGTTGGGGTTGGTGGTGCGGAGGGCAGAAAGGTCACGGCGAGGTTGGTTTTTAGGGAATATGGGGACAATAGGTATGGAGGCGGCGTCATCAGACCAATCGAAGGCTGGGGGATCCAAGGTAGGAGCAGTGGTGGCAGCAGGGGGCAGATCCATAAGCTGGGCTTGAGCTTCGGCATTGACAAGAAGAGGTGGAGTGGTCTGGGATGAGGAAGTGTGATGTGAGGGGGAAACCTGAATAGCAGCATCAAGAGAAGGTGGGCGAGCCTCAACGGAATCAACCTGAACCATAGCATCGAGCTTGTTGGCAGTGCAGGTGTGTCCCTCGGGAAGTCCTACATCGCAAGAGAAGCAATCTGTTTTTGTGTCAAAACACCAGAAGCCGTGGCCTGCTGCCTCCCATTCCTTCCTCTCATTCAGTATCCCCATTATCTGTCCTTCATCTGCACCATCACGAAATGCTTGCTTCACATCCTTGTCCTTGAAAAGCTCTGTTCCCCTTCGAAATCCATCCCTCGACCCTTCCCGAAAGGCGTGCGCCCAAATGAGGCCTAATGGCGAGTCTGGCGATGACGTGGCAAGAGCGATGAGCTTCGCCAGGCTCTCTTCCAATACTGGTGGTGGTGGCGATGATGCTGCTGCTGGTTTTGATGCGGATGCGGATGCGGGCGCTGGCGGCGTTACTGCGGGTGGTACCTGACTGACAGGGTTCTTCTTCGAAGCAGTCTTCTTTTCCGGCATGGTGACGTAGGGCGGAAGGTGGTGATGTCACAAGGCACGACGTAGACGGTATAGATGTGGAGATGAAGATGGTGAGACAGTAAGACATATGGCGTAGGACGGGGGACAATACAGGACACAATGATGTTGATGAGGTGGCAGTAGAGACACCCAGAATGAGACTAGAGCACAGAAATGAAGCAGAGAGCAAGAGCTAATGTGTTAAAGCACGAAACACACTCTCATCACTAAGTGGAAAGGGCGGAAGGGCTTCCCCAGCATGTAGCTGACTGGGTAAGTGGTGGTATTGTGGTCAGTAGCTACTACATGTGATGTAACCCTATATCAGAGCATAAATGATGGCAGCACAAACCTCAAGGCTGCTGTTTAGCCAAAAAGAGTTGAAAGAGTCATAAACATAAGCCTGGCCAGGAATGGGTGAATTCTTGATTTCCATCCTGGTCTCATGTCCAGGCCCAGCTTGGACTGTAGTTTCAATGCCAAACCAGTGCTGAGTGTATGGGGCTGGGTTCAAATCAAAAGTTACTGACCAACTTTTTTTTTTCTATGGGCTCATCAGCAGGCACCATCAACTATGGTCTGTTGATACGCGTTGCACGGGGATGACCGTGAAAGTGCGAAACACGCGAAAGTCCCAGCAACAATATTTCCACTACACCATACGGCCGTTAAAATTCTACAAACAATCTCTGTTTTGCTGTCAACCACAACCACAACCATAACCACAACCACCACCACCGTCGCCGCGACCAGCGCGGTCACCTCGAATCACGCCCACACCAGCGGACAACGACGACGACGACGACGATGGACGACGACACAACGACACAACGACGACGACGGACGACGACACGTCAACGCACGACGAGGACGACGACACGTCAACGCACGACGACGACGGACGATGACGACGGACAACAACGACGCGTCACGTCAACACACGACGACCACGCACGACACGTCAGCGACGACGAGGACGACACGTCAACGGACGAGGACGACGGACGACGACGACGACACATCAACGGACGACGACGACGACGACGACGACGACGACGGACGAGGACGACGACACGACACGTCGACCGACGACACGTCAGCGACGACGAGACGGCCGCACGTCAACGGACGACGACGAGGACGACGGCGACATGTCAACGGACGACGACGAGCCCCCTCCCTTTTCCCTCCCCCCTTCCTATTCCCTCCTCCTTCCTATTCCCTCCCCTTTCCTTTTCCCTCCCCCTTCCTTTGTCCTCCCCCTTCCTTTGTCCTCCCCCTTCCCTGTCCCTCCCCTCCCTCTTCCCTTTCCCTTCCCTTTTCCCTCCCCCTTCCCTTTTCCATCCCCCTTCCCTTGTCAATCCCCTATTTCTTGTGCCCCCCTCTTCCTTTTCCCTTCCCCCCTTCCTTTACCCTTTACCCTTCCCCCCTTCCTTTTCCCTTTTCCCTTCCCCCCTCCTTCCCT